TTGTTCAGCATGGGGGTGAGTAGAAAATGAAGGCTAATCATGTTTTGGGTGTACTATTCCTTTAATGTGGTTCTCAGTAAATCAGATGCCATTTCTGGAAATAAACCAGTTTCCTACCTCTCTTTGGAGCTATTAAACATGCTACGAAGTTGCTCCGCAGTTCAGGGAGCGAGAGCCCTTGTTTATTTAAATCAAGGGGTACTGAGTTTATTTCCTGAAATTGTACAGTAATGCTTTTTCATCAAACGGATGCCTTCTCCATTAAACTTAGACGACTGTGACGAGACGGGTAGCCTGGCTGGCTCAGAGGCTGGCAGCTCCCGTTCACTGCCTTCTGTTTTCACAGGGGCAGGCAGAAATAGAATGTCCCAGGCGAAGGTAGACGGATGTCACCGTGCACTTACCAAGTTTATTGTTTCACAGAATCTATAGGAGAATCAGAATCATAAAAATCGTACAAATTCCCAACCCCACTCGTGATGTCACCACACGCTCTGCTTGTCTGGAGCCGTCTCTAAATTAATTAATAGTCTCTAAATAATAATAAAGGAATAATAAACTCCACCATAGCTCCACCCTATAATACAATAAACATCTCTGATCAATCCCACTGCAGCTCTGGCGGAGCCCTTGGGTCATCAGAAGATGAACCTGTTAAAGATGCACCTTGAAGCTCTCTCTCTGGGTCACTCGGGACAAACTCTTCAAATAACATTTTATATATTTAACTACAATTTGGGTTTCATCTAATTAAAGGAAAGCTGTTTTAGTTTCCTATGCGCACATTATTTTTATTTACCTTAGACTAGGTAACCTAAGCCTATAACTCTAATAAGGTCAAATTCATCTACACTCATTTCCACCTGGAGGCCTCCTAAATGTGACCGCTCATCATGGATAACCCATCCATCCACATTAACTAGTCATTGAGTCACAGTAGGGGACGTCACAGGACAGGCCGGGTCGTTCTCCACAGGAAAACCCTACCTTCTCTAAAAATAAAGTTCTTTGAAGCCTTTACCAGCTTATCTTACCCCCCTAAAAAGGAGAATCTCCCCCACAGCATGATGCTGCCACCACCGGGTCACTAATGTGAGGCTTGGTCCCTGTAGGCTGGATAGTGGCTTTGATCAGGGAAGCTTTTCCAGCAGGTTGAGGGATTTCTGTTCATGTCTCTCATAACTCTGTAGCTCCTCCAGAGTAACTCTGAGCCTGCTGGCTTCCTCTGACTATCACAGCAGTGACTCACCCACGCTGTGCCTCCTGTGGTGCTCCTGCATCACGTCTTTGCGGTAGAACATTTTGTTGCAGATCTCGCAGGAGTAGAGCTTCTCGCCGTGCTTCTTCTTATGCTTGGAGAGGTTGCTGTTGGTGGAGAAGAACCGAGAGCAGATGTCGCACTGGAACGTCTTGTCATCTGCAGGCGACACACAGAAAAATACAAGATTTATATGAGACAAGAATTTAATTCTGAACATCTGAGAAAAAAGAGGAAACAAACAAAAAGCATCACCTGTCCGGCAGTTGTGGAACTTTAAGGCGTTTTCCATGCGAAAGGATTTCTCACACGTGTTACATTTATATTTGTACTCCTGGTCGGGCTGTTGGAAGCAGAAAGGAAACGCAAAGACATCAACCAACAGGAAGAACAGGAGGCTGGAGGGAAGAGTTCCAGGCGCCACTCACCACATTCTTGCTGTGCTTGTAGGAAATGTGCTGCTTCAGACTCTCCTTACGGCTGAATAACTTATCGCATTCCTCGCATTTGAACAGCTTATCACCTGAGAAGAGTCACCAGAGTTACTCGTGCATCCAGTCACTGCATTTGGGAGAGAGGAGGCGGCTGCGCTAAACGGGCTAACCGGCTCTCACCGTGGGATCGGACATGTCGGTTCAAGTTGCTGCTGTTCTGGAAGACCTTACTGCAGAGGGAGCAGCGGTAAACCCTCTTATGCTCTCTGGCTTTGTGCCTCTTTTGGACGGCTACACTGTTGGAGGAGCTGGGAAGGCCGCCGCTCTCCGACGCCGCCGTTGCTGCCTCTGAGGCCACCGGCTGCAGGCTTATCACCGCGGGCTTCACATCTGCACACATCAGGAACAGTGAAGTTAGATGGACTGACGGCGTCTATGAATTTATACTGAATTTGAGTCGTCAGTAAAAACAATCTGCTAGAGGAATAAGATGTTTGCTCTAAAACTGATAAATAAAAAAAAAACTTTATTATTATTACATATAATGATCTAATTTTAGAGGCAAAAATCCTCCTTCCATGAGCAGATTGATCAAATAAAGGCTAATTACACTTATTTCAAGAAGTTTTATACTATTTTAAGATAACTTTTTGCAGCGGTGGTTGGAGCAGCATCCTCGGGGTTACACTGGAAAAAACGTTCTCTGTAGGAAAAAGTAAAAATGTCTTAAATTAAGTGTATTTACCCGTAATTTGAATAGGTAAATGAGATAGTTTGCCAATAACATGAGTATTTTCACTCTTAAAATAAGATCATTTTATAACATGCACTTGAAGTAAGACAATGTAATTGTGTTTAATTATTTCAAATGTAAATTGTCTTGCTCTGTTGGTAAAATGTCTCTCTTACCTCCTCAATCCAAGAACAAATTCACTTATTTTAAGAAAAAGTGACTTTTCTAGATTCCGATTTTTTCCAGTGTAACCGAGCCATGGGACACAAACGGTGCTCTGCAGGACATCCCCTTATTAACACTTACACATTTAACGCTGAAAACATTATTTAAAAAGGATCTAAACCACAGATGTAAACAAGTTTTATCCTGAAATATTTGTATAAAGTCAGAATTCTGCCAAAAGGTCAATTACGTAATAAATCAGGATACCAGAAGTTTTATTTCAAACATATTCATATGAACTGGTCTCCATTTGCATTGTAACCATTTTTTTGTGTGCAGATCCATTATATATGTTACAGGCGTGAGTTCATGCTCCTTTTCTTCCCTCTCTTGCTTTTTATGCTCCTCTGGATTCTCTCTTTCTCGTGTCTAGATCTGTTTCTGTGCCCTAATGTCAACCTTTTAATGGAGAATCCAACCTTAGAATTCCAAGCTTTTTTTCCTTCCTGGTTGTAGCTAGTAATGTTAGCAAAGCATCTTCAGGATAATAACTGTTCTACTCCTGAATCATCATTAGAATTTCTGGCCCCCGTTGGCTCCTGTCTAGAATCGGCCATGGTGAGGAATGATGACACCGTGGCGAGGTGCACTGTATGCTGAAGTCCCATTAAAACTAGAAAGCACAACCGATGTTCAAGGCTACAAGATTGAAAGTATTGAAAATAAAAGACCAATACGGTTCTGTTTAATGTTTAAGAAATTACTGTTAGTTAATAAACAGTTGTTAAGCATCTCCCTGAAATGAGCTTTTGGAACTTGGGATGTCTTCATTATGGGATTTGCTTTCAAAGCGGCCCGCTGTCGCCATAGGCTATTGCTACCCGTCAGCGACGACTAATAAGAAAGATGGCGCCGGCACCACGCAGTGAAGGAGGAGTTATGTGACCAACGGAGCAAAAAGCAGTGATCATCTGTCCGAATGGTCAGTTAATTGAGTTCACTATAAAGTTCACTATATAGTCCCAGCTTTATGTGGACACAGTAAGATTGTATGAGCTATGAGAACAGCACATTTTAAACAGGGCGTGCACGAGGAGAAATGGGCTTGTGCATGCTCTAGCACAAGCATTTTTTTTCTAAGTGGAGAGGGCGGGTCTTTCAAAAAGTCCTGCACAATACCTTTAAACTTGGTGACATTAATGATGTTAATAACTGTAAAGTTGTGTCATTATGATTTCACTTAGATGCAACTTCTTATTCTTACCACACAATTGCAGCCTGGAGTGACTGATACAGTACAGAGTGGAATATGGGTCAAAAGGAGAAGAATAGTCAAGAACAATAAGTGCGGGAACAAGACATATTATCATTAAATGATGGTTACAGAGATTTTAAACGGAGAGGATGGAAGCGTTTCCATCAGCGGGCTGATATATTCTGATTTTGACTGATTGATGACATCATCATCTGCCTAATTCTTGTTTAGGGTCCCTGATTCAGGTTTTTTATTTCTAATACACTTATATTACAGCTTTACTACTTCGATACCAATTCGACATGAAAGCTTTATTGGTAGAAGAGATGTCCTAGTGGCTAGAGCGGTGCCCTTGTGCTCTGAGAAGGTTGCAAGTACTGGGTTTGACCCCCAAAGACTGCCACTGTGGGTCTCTGAGCAAAAGGCCCTTAACCCCTGATTGCTCCCCGGGCGCCGCACAATGGCAGCCCACTGCTCCCCAAGGGGATGGCTAAAATGCGGAGAGTGAATTTCCCCATTGTAGGACAATAAAGTGATTTACATTTTTATTTAGTTATTTTGCAGATTGGAATGTTGATGAAATGATTTTACTTAGAGAACAATAGTAAATAACACAGGCTCTTTTATTATTAACTAATGAGTTAAACACAGCAGCTGTGTTTATATAAGCATGTTTACTGTATGGATTCAGGCTGAATCCTGTTTTTTGGGTTGATACTGGACTGATTTCTGTTATTAATATCAGATCAGGACCTCCCTGCTCCTGTTTCTTACCTTTGAATTTGCTTGTTGGAGCAGCAGCTCCCGGCCTGCGGCCCCTGGCTCTCCTCCCACGGCCCTGCCCTCTTTTCCGGCTAAGCTGGGCTGCGTGGGGCTTCCCTTCCTCTACATCAGGGTGAGCCGTGCTCTCCTCGTGGGGCTGCGGTGAAACAACCTCGCTGCTGTGATCTGGGGTCATACCTGGGATGAAGGAACATTAAATGGATGCATTTAAACACAAACATGAGACAGAAGGGGTCCAATCACACTAAATGGTTTGACTTAAACTGTTGTCTTCAGCCTTCTGAGGCGAGCAGGCTCCACTTCTGTCTAAGGTCTCCGTTTTAGCAGAAGACGATGAAACATCTGTTCAAAGAAAGAAGGTGTTAAGGACATTTCTTCAGCTTTTATTTTAACCGATAAACCTCCAGTTTGGGATCCCTGTACCTGGTGGGGGCAGCGGCGGTTGCAGTGGGGGCCTCAGCATGGGTTTCTCCATCTTCTTGGCGTAGAAAGCGCCATACCAGACTCTCAGCTCCGTCCCAGGGAGCACATCCTGAAAAACACACAGCAGGAACCAATGGAGGAAGAGCGTCCCGAAGGCTTTAAAGATAGGCTGGCTGGACGTACCTGGGAGGTGTTGAAGTAAATGTCGTCGTCCTGCTGGTAGGCGGTCAGATTCTGGTGTTTGTGATCAGAGGCCGGTCGCACCAGCATCATCCAGTTGCAGTCGTCCTCGCTGCTACTGTCGAAGCACACCACAGCGCCATTTCTCTGAAAGATCTGCCGAGACGGGATGCAGTGTGAACGCAGAGATAAAGCGAGGAGCTAACAGACACATCGGCAGGACGAGCATCGCCTTCCATGCCGCAGGCGGCCATCTGGAAGCACCTTCAGAGGGAAAGCTCCTTCTTTCTTCAAACTTGGGACTCTCTGCGCCTCGAAGGGTCCAAACCGGGTCCTTTTGACCAGCCGGCGCAGGACGAACACCCCTTCCTCTCTGTTCCCCACCTTCCTGATCTCCAAGCTGTTTGGTAGAGATGATCTGATGCGGAACAGAGATTAGGAGTTTGTTTAAATACAAACAGGCCAAATCCCAAACCTAGAAATTAAAGGAGTTAAAATAAATGCGGTAGAACACAACATTGGGCTTTATGCAGATGACGTTATAGTTTTCTTTTTTGAGCTGTTTGATGTCACTCCAAGAAACACTCGGCTATCTTTCTGGATATAGAATAAATATTTCCAAAACTGAGATTGTAGAATTCAATTATATACCTCCGCAAGATCCAAAAGACATGGAAATTTAACTGGAAAATGAAATGTATAAAATATTGAGAGAAGTTACAAAAAATTATCTTCTTGAAATTAACCAAAGAAACTATTCAATAATACAAGAAAATATACAAAAAGATATTGAAAGATGGGCAACTCTGCCCATAGAGATTGTTAAAATGAATATACTACAACCATTTCTGTACAAATTCCATGCTTTGCCTGTGGAAGTGACTTAAAGTCAGTTTTACAACATGGAATAGAATTATATCCTGATTCATAAGGGAAAATACGAGGCCAGGGATTAAATACTAAACTCTCTAGCTTTCCAGAGAGAAAGTAGCAGGGTGGGACTGGTAATCTGTGAGACCAGGCATTTGCCCGGTGGACCGGTCCTAATTTAAGCGTGCGAGGGCTGACCCTCCATAAATCATACCAGCCCCAACACTTACTCTCCGGCCGAAGCTCCTACCTGTGACAGTAAATAACTTATAGGGGAACGCCGTTTTTTTTACATTGGGCCCTTGATTTTACATTATTACATCATGTTCTACTCACCCATATGAGTTTTGTGTCATTTGGAGCCGTTCTAAAGATATTCTGTTAGGTTATATCCAAGTATCGGATGTCTGGGGGACAGTAATTCGCCTACATGTTATGAGTGCTGGCGTACCATAAATGACAAATTATGAACAGTTTAGTTTGTGCCTTCAAGTCGTTGCCCAAAGGAAGACGTTACTTGGATATAACCTAACAGAAAATATCTTCAGAACGGCTCCAAATGACACAAAACTCATATGGGTGAGTAGAACATGATGTAATAACGTAAAATCAAGGACCCAATGTAAAAAAAAAATGGCTATCCTCTTTAAGGAGCTCAAGAAGTAATCCAACGTTAACTTCCTAAATGATGCATGCAGTATAAATAGCCCTTCCTTGTGATGGTTGGCATATGGTGTCATTTTCTATTTCTTCAAACTGTAAAATCCTTGCAACAAACTAAATTATAATAAAACTAAAATGCTTTCTTTAAACCAAACGACAATGTTCCTCTTATATTTGGTGAATTTATGCTTGAATATTTTGCAAAAAATTTGTTGCGGTGCATGATGGGGTTTTGCATCTCAAGGCTAACGTTCTCGTTAGCCTTAAGATGTAGATGGACCGGTGCAGATGGAAAAATGCTAGGGCCAAAAATGGTTCCCAGTCCGAGCCTAGAAAGGAGGGACGGCTCTACCCAAGCTAGAAGAGTTTTATTATGCAGCGCATCTTAATATGCATATCGTTGGTGTGATCCTAATTATTATAGTAAATGAAAACAGAATAAAATTTGAACATATAAATTACCGATTCCAAACTTTCTTGGAGATAGAGAAGCTTAGGGGCAAGAAACCATGGAATAGAAACCTATTCTAGGTAAATGGAACAAAAAGGATCCAGAAATATGAAATTCTAAATAAAACAGCAAAATTAAAATTGATAGCTTATGACAGTAAATGTATGCCAACAAAAATGGATAAAAGTTATATATTTTGGACGAACAAAGAATTAACTGTTTGGTGCCTCCTGGAGAAAAGATGGAAGGCTTGAGAATTTCCAAACACTGCCTCACAAATACCAATTCGGTAACTGTGAGTTTTTCCATTATCTTCCAATCAGAGACTCTAACAACAAAGAAATGAAGGTAGACTCCTCCAGGGAAGGGTTAGAAGTGGATGGTATAATGATTAAATCATTTAAAATTAGTATTACTAGGATAGTCTCCTCGTTCTATACAGCATGAATAAATGAGGATAAACATACGACCAAAAAAACAAAGCAAAACGGTGAAAAATAATTGGATATAATAATTAGCTACAGGGACTGGTTAAATACATGCAGGTATCACAACAGTACTACAACCTCCCTGACATGGAGGGAGTTCTCCTGGGAAAAAACGTATCTGTTCTTTATCACACCATATATCCAAAGCAAGCAGCTAAAATAGCAACAACTGTGCAGGAGAGAACATAAGGCAGACCATTCACATATACTATGGAAATGTCCTAAACTTTTACAATACTGGAATAAGGTTCATAATGTCTTATATGATGGGCTGCACGGTGCAGCAGTGGGTAGCTTTTCTGCATGTTCTCCCTGTGCATGCGTGGGTTCTCTCCAGGTACTCTGGCTTCCTCCCACAGTCTAAAAACATGACTGTTAGCTTAATTGCCTTCTCTAAATTAGGTGTGAGTGTGCATGGTTGTGTGTCTTTGTGCATCTCTGTCATGCCCTGTGACAAACTGGCGAGCTGTCCAGAGTACCCCGCCTCTCTCCCATAGATGAGAGGCAACCCTGACAAGGACTAAACAGGAAGAGATGGATGTCTTATGTCAGGTTTGAGTATATAGAATACCATTAAAATCTAAACTGCTATATTTGTGTATACTCAGTGACAACACAATTAATTAAAACAACAAAGATAATGTTGGTGGCAGCTAAAAAGTGTATCAGGAGGAAATGGATGAAGATCGAGGTGCCAATGAAGGATCAATGGATATCTACTATAGAGGACATACTGGTAACGGAAAGGTTAACATATAGACTACAGGAAGCACTAATGGACAAAAAAAAATGGTTTCTTACAAGAAAGAAAATCAATGTGTCTCCCAGAGTGTTTTCTTTATCTGTTTTTTTTTCTTTTCTATCCTGTATTACATGTCATGTATGTGCTTAAAAAGACTAATAAAATATAAGTGACAAGAAAAGAAAGAGGCTAAATCCAACCAAGCTTAATGAGATCATCACGTAANAAAAGAAAGAGGCTAAATCCAACCAAGCTTAATGAGATCATCACGTAAGTAATGGCAGAAATAGTTCCGTTTAGCATAGTTTAAACAGTTTGAGTTTGGAGTTAATATTTAAAGTTTTAATGGAAGATTTTCTTTTTCCAGGCGGATCATCTTAATAAGTGGTCCTCCTAATTGTCAATCATTCTGGTATTCATATCATATCTTTACGTGAGGTCGTCCTACGTGCTCGTCCCTATTTTCACTCACCATTGGTGAGTCTGACATAGTGGAAAATTGCAAATCTTCTTTTGGATAGTAAGCTTGTATGAGCGACACAAACAGCAACTTTTAAACAGAGCGTTTACCAGGAGAAAGGGCTGGTGCTCTCACACACGTTTAATAGGTGTTCCCTCTCGGCTGCGGGTACAGGGTGGTGCATGTGCATTTCTTTTTTAAAGTGGAGAGGGTGGGTCTTTTCAGAAATCTGTGAAAATCTGCCACTATACCTTTAAAATCTGATACATTAGTATGGAAATGAGCTGCATGGTCAACTATTTGATCCCAAGCAATATAAGACAAATATACCATAAATACATGTTTTTAAAAAGCAATTTCATTCTTAGGAGATAAATCTGAATATTTTCTCTGTTAAATTATGAATTAAATGTGGAGAACTTATCCAGGAGTTTAAAAAGAAAAAGAAAACATGATGTCATCTAAAGCACTGTGGGCCACAATGCCTCAGATGAGCTGTGATTCAACAGTAAGAGAGTGGGGAAAAAATTAAAATGGCATCCAGGGGGCGTGCAGGTGGGGCACGACCCATGTATGGAGGCCTTAGACCTCGACACAGGCGACCAAGGTTCGAATCCACCTTTGGTCCTTTGCTGCATGTTCTCCCCCTCTTTCATACCCCCTTTCCTGTCAGCCTACTGTCGGAAAAAAAAAAAAAAAAAAAAAAAAAGGGCGAAAAAAAAAGTAATAAAAAAAATGGCATCCAGAAGAGAAATCCAAGGTAAAACCGCTGCTTAGACGAGGGCTGTTCTTATTGCAACATCACTGGGATGATTGACAGAACTTTGGGGAAAAAGTTTCCTGAGCGACAAAACTGTGGGAGAAAATGGCCCATTAAATTAGGTAATGAAAATGTCTGACCATGAGAGAGTCAACCAGGTGAAAGTTTAGCCATGGTCTAGTCAAATCCTGGACTTGACTCTGATAAAAAGCTGCACAAGGAACTCTGTGTCACAAACTGGGTTAACGATCTACCACATTGGTGTAAAAGGGTCACTCAGTTTTACAGAAACTAGATAACAGATGATGCTGCTATTGGTGACAAAACCAGTTATTAGGTTTGAGGTAAAAGAGGAAGTTAGTTAAAGTCGTAGGGAAATGATCGTTCCGAACGAGTGGTGC